GATGGTTTTGAATTCATTCTCACGACTGCACATTTCCAAGGTTTCCTGGGTGAAATTGTTCAAAGCTTTGTGCAAATTGGCAAACATACCGGTGGGTGGTTCGTTGGTAATCTTAATAGCATTCTCTAAAATTCCTTGAGGAATGATATGATATTCCGGGGAACTGGCTGGCTCTGCACTGATGAATAGACGATAATTGGTGTGTCCGACTTCGGCATACTCTTCCATCCGTTTCTCCAATGTGGTCAACCATTTTGCGACCAGATGGATATTTTGCAGTACAACCCAATGACCTTCGGTGGAGGCTAATTGCATTGCTTTTTCGGCGACCACTTCTTGTCCTTGACCCAAAGACACATTGTGGAAATTGCCCTGATCGCCGGAAAATCCTAATTTCTTACCCAAAGCTTCCACATCTTTTAAAGGATCCACACCGGGTGAGAGAATAAAGAATATGGGGATCGCTGGCCCGGACTCCTCAAACGATTTCGCGAAAGGCATCTGTGCTCCCTCCACATACTTCTGCCCGAGTTTCTCCGCTACAAAATCGGTAACTGCATAGGTCATTCGATCCGGTCGTAATGCACGCATAATACAGAGACGTTGTAAAGCATTTTTTGATTTCCATCCTTGTGGTAATTTTTCCTTTTCCGGACTTTCACCATCCACATATTTTTTCCATCTTTTCGCCGATCCCTCGATATCTTTGTCCAAATTACGGAACGCTTCCATGTTAGACAACGCTTTAATCCCACCCCAACCAGTATTGGTGAGAAAATCGACCGGAGATGTGACATTTGGTGTGACTGGGAATCGAAGTAGAAAGTCCAATTCGACCGGATCAATCTCCTTGCTCATGACCAAAATTTGAAATGCCATCTGAGCGGTAAAAATCAATTTGTCCTGTTCGAACAGACCACGTGACGTGTATGTGTAAGCGGAAAATGTGATCGAATCGATCAAATTGTTAACACGTTCCTTCACTTCTTCCGCAGGTTGTGTTCGATCGATTGCAACTTCGAATACACTACGGAATGCCTTCAAGGAGAACTGATAGATCGGGTTGATTTTGCTCAAATCGTTCAAAATAAAATAGAGCAAGGAGGCTCGTGCGGCAGCCGGTCGATACCATTCGCGTGCCTCATTAATTTTCACCTCGGTCACTTTGGCCTGTTCCACTTTCTGGCCAATTTCAATCGCGGTACGTTTATTGGTCTCCAAATTTTCGACCAGAGCATAATCACCCAGGAAATTCCCCTCGGCAGCGGACAAACGAGCCAATAAACTATCCTCTAAACTTTTCAGTGTAATTTTAAACTCGTTCTGTTGTCGTGTCAAATCGGCTTTCAGCTGTTCCAAATCCGGTCGTTCTTTGCTGACAACACTGGCCAATAGTTGATCTTCCAAACCGTCCCGGGTCACAGTGAAATTGATCAGAGTAGTTTGTGCTTGCATTTCCGGTTTGTAATGCGGATTGGCCAGCTTAGTTTGCAGAATCAGCCGAAACTGGGGACTATATTCCACCTCCTTGTCACCCAATCGAATAGCCCGACCTTTTTTGATAGTCATCCGGCCCAGTAGGGGGTCTAACACGGGATCAACCATCTCTTCGATATTCTCCAACAGAACTGTATCCCCAGCTGAGATAGCCTGTTCAATTCGATCCAGATAGCCCTTTTGTCCGAGACGTATCACTCGCAAAGCGGTATCGTAACGGGTTTTGATCCATTTGATTCCCTGCAGTTGCGGATCGATCATTAGTGGCCAGCGTTCGGTACTGGTTAGAATTGTAGCATTTTCAATAGACATTCGATCCGAGGGCAATCCCTCGTTGTTCCAAGTGGCCACAATCGCATCGTCCACAAGCATTTGAAGTGGATCTAAATCCGGAGTGATCGGAATGGCCGGTTGCAATGTTTGGAAAAACGGAACCCAATGCTGTTCGATAAGCATGGTCCGATATCGTTTGGTGAAACAACCCACATAGGACAGGAACGCGGCAGTGAGGAGTACATCGCCTGGTAATGTGACTGCTTGTTTTTTAAATTGTTCCACTTGCTCGGCCCAACGCACATTTTCCGAGGCCAAACCACCGACCAGGCGATTGGCCAGTTCGATCGTTTTATACGTGGCATCCGCTTCGTCCTGACAGCGTTGTTTCTCCCGGGTGGCAATTTCAAATTTGTTTGTCAACTCGTTCAGTGTGGCTTCGAGATCCCGAATTTTCTTCTGAATCGTTTCCAACTTTTCTGTGGCCTGTCTTAACTCCTCATTCGCTTCGTCCAGTGCGTCCCGTTTCGGTTTGACATCACAATAGATATTGTAAAATGTGACAATATTGATCACCCATGAGCATAGGCCAGCCGCGGCGGTCGATTTGCTTCGTATGAAATCCGGATCGAATTCGGGATCTTTCAAATATTCCTGAATCGCTTTCAAACAATTCTCATGAATATTTTCCTTATCGTAATTGATCAGATTGTCCAAGAACAAATCTACTTTTCCCATAATACCCGCTTTCGCGGCTTTCCAGCTTCGATCACGTGGAATTTTACCACCGGGTGCCAGTAAAACCATCACAGCCGCTGTCACATTGACCACAGCGGGCGGAGGCGAACCGAACGACTTCATCTCAGTCAGATTGTTCTTATTCAATGTGTTCAAAGCCTCTTGTGCGGCAAGCAAAGCGGGTTCAGCTTTGGCCAAATCAATCTCGCAATCTCGCTGTTTTTTGGCCACCTCGGCTTTGATCACGGCAACTTTCTGTTCCTCTTGGTTGGCAAACTCTTTCTCTCCACTGACTTTCTCCGTTTCCGCTCCGACAATGGCCAACAGTTTATTTGCGTCCTCATTCTTTTGGGCTAGTTCCACTTCTTGTGCGGCTAGTTTGGCTTTCAAATCATCCACCTGTTGGGCTGTGCTTTCCAATTTTTGCAAACCATTTTCCAATCGATTCATTTTGGCCATCAGACCGGCATGTTTATCCCGTAGCATATTCCCATACAATTGAATTTGTTCCAAAAACGATTTCGGTGTGGTGTAATTGTGACGTCGCTCGTTTTGTAAATACACAACATTCATCTCGTTCACCGATTGATGCACAAAAGACATGAACTGTGAAACGGACGATCTTAGTTCCTCGGGTAGTAGGGTGATATTGGACAAGAATCGATGCGAGACTGAGAGTAGGGCTTCTTTCGGCCACTCGTGGAACCAATCGATGGAGGTACAATTGACCACGGCTGGGAATTTTCTCGCTCGTACACGTAAAGTGGAACCGACCGGGGAGAAGCACAACACTACTTTCAATAGACGTCGTACTTTATCAATAAAATAGGCCCAACAATTCTCTCGGGTGTCTGGGAGGCCTTGACTTTTTACCTCGCCACGCATTCCGTTGATCACATTCTCCATTTCATCGTCCGGCAACAAATCGGGTATCTCACCGGATGCGAGTAGATCGTTGACTAGCACGAGGAATTTCTCATCAGCAACCTGAGCATCGGTCAACAGGAACACAGTACCCGTATTTTTCAGTCCAGCTTTCAAATACAAACCAGCCAAATCAGCTCGCAAATCGGGAATCGCGTAACCTTTGCGCAGAGTGATTTGGAACACTTCAAGCGAGCTGATAAAGGCGGCCAAACGTGAGAGAGATTGTTTACCGGATCCGCCGACCCCGACCAGTAGAGCATTTCCACGAGGCGATTCCAGAATCCGATTGATACGAAGTATGTGCGCGATCGCATCCTCGAACAGGACCAGATTCATCACCGCATTCAATTCATTGTAATTGTCCAACGCCTCGTTTAGTATACGAACCAGATCAGTCATACTGGTCACGGCCATGTATTTCGGCTCACCGATTCCCTGGGTGAAATGACAAAACATGTTCGGGGTTTGGAACAATTGATCTTCGTTCATATCCTCGAAAAACTTTTTACCGGTTTCACGCAATAGTCGATCAAATAATTCCACATCTTCCCGGTCAACCATTTTGTCCGAGTACACCCGAGCAGATTCGTGCATCCAAAGACGGACCAAATCGGACGGTTGTCGTAGACAGTCGGCGGTTGCAAACAAGAGACCCTGAAAGGAGAAGAAGTAGCAGAAAAACGATAGATTATATAATGCTGGAATGAGCAATCGTTTGACTCAGTCAAGTTTATCTAACGATTGTGCACAAACGGTATTACGCAATCTTCAACATTTCATGTATCAAATTTAGATTATCAAGTGAAAACCTTATAAACTTCTGACATTTGCGGTGACCAAAAGAAGCCTGTTTGTTCATCGAATGTATGTATTTCACACGCGTCTGAATCCAGACTGTGTACCAAACAAATCGTGGTACAATAATCTTCATAAAGAAGAGGGCACCTTATTACTAGGTTGCCCAGGCCAAAGCAGATGAACTTTCTTAAGAAGCTCACAACCGGAGCATTTGGTTAGCCAAAGTCTGACCCGATAGGTAAGAAGGGCGGGGCGGGGGATCGGGGTCGATATGTGAAAGCCGCACTCCGCTGGGGCCGATGTCCATCGGATCATGCGCTCATTGGACGGGGTCAAACGTCCAAGGTGCCAATACACCCCGATAGCCAGTCGAGCCGATGACCACGGTCACAACCAAGGTGTGGGTGTGTGCTTCGTACGTCCCGAATAGAATCTCGCGAGTGTATCATGATAACCTTGTTAACAATAGTACCCAGTTTTGACAGATGATCGCTGAGTACCCAATAACATAGACCGCATTAACAGTACTCCTCTCCCCAACGTTTGGATTACTATTAGGTTAGAAATGCTACACTTCATGAAATTAGGGTCGTAGTTCATTGGTAGTCGACGAATGAGATGCCTGAGGTACATTTATTCTATAAGCAGCATGCCGGAAAATGGTCCACGGACTAACGAAAAGTTAAGAAAACCTTGAACCGAAGGAGGCAAGTCAGACCTCGGAATTGCGGTCTGTGACTCAACGCAAAGTGATTAAGTGGCGCATATGCGCGGTATACTCACCCATTAACCTTCATTATCCGGTAGCCCTGTTCATTTCAAGCCACCCAATTTGCTGGAAATTCCTTTTCTTTTCTTCTTCTTTTTTACGAATAACTTTTAAGGGCGACAATCAGATTCGATAAACTATAGTTAAAGACCAATTGTTAACTACTATTCGTAATCAGATGTTCCTGCCCCCCTTGCATTAGACTACTCATGAGTAGCCTTCCGTGTTTTTTTCCCCAGCAGTCAACAATACTAAAATGAACAATTCTATAGATTGGACTAGATCCTCTTATTTGCATTCGGTGAGCAGTGGGAACGATTGGGATTGTTAAACTTCCGGACAGTAAATTTTTTCAGGGTTTTGACTTCTACCTTAGTTTGATTTACAGGGAACATGACATGTATGTTTTACTTGCTATCAAAAAACGATGTTTTTGATTTGACAACTCGATGTGCTGGAACGGTGCGCTCTATTCTCATAACGACCTGCTGTTTATAAATAAAAACAGAGGCGGACCATGTAAGGCCCCAGTAATATGGTATGGGTAAGGTTTAAACCTGGACGGCATTCAAGTTGTGTTTGACTAATTTCGTAGGGTACGAACTTCAAACAGCAAAACTAAGCGCACGCCTCCAAGAGTGACTAAAATCGCTTGACAGCAGTCACCAATATGTGTATGTGTGTGTGACAGATGAGAAACCACCAGAGGAGTGTAAACAATTCTGTTCTGCATGAATGAAACGAACCAAAATACTGGGACATGTGGAATCAAACTTACCTGGAATATGTTCGACAAATCCCGAAGATTAAACACATAGTGAAATTTGATGGCTGTGGGTAAAAATACCGAACTGATTTTCGCGTGGAATGCCAGAGCACAATCGGCCACTTGGGCGGCAATTTTGCGCACCGGTTGCGGACTGTTGATCTGAGACAGATGCTGATTCAATATGGACGAGTAAATGGTCTTCAGCGCTTCCTGACCCGGGAAGCTGAGAGCGAACACACAAAAGTGTCTCTGTTGGGAGTGGGGAATTGAGAGGAAAACATAAAACATAAAACAATACGGAAGGCGCGAAAGGGGATGCTGAAATCTTTGTATTACTTTATTACCGAGTGAACTGTGCATTTGGAAAAAGAGCGACTTGAGCGATAAGTATGATCGCATCCTTTGTTTCAGGGATACACTGAGTCAGAGTAATTATCAACGTAGAACTTGCTTTCGACCAAAGGAGACGTGATGAAGATATTGATGATAGGATTTGGATATCCAATCTGCAGATCAACTCGAATTAATAAATAAGATTAGTAAAAAAAAATGGAGCAATCAGAACTTTATGTGTGAATATCTGGTATATTTTTAACTCAAATTCATCTTTTAGATTTCTTTCCTCTGCCGAATATCCATGAGGAAATGTGATCTACCACGACCGACCAGTTTAAGCGGTAGCTTGGAAAGAGAGGAGTAGTAGAGTATGTCTTTTTGTCAATAACAGATATATAAATGGACTATATTGCGTCGTTGCATTTTGTTCCGCTTTCAATCTAATTTGCTCCTCCACACCGGAGTAATCACATCGTGTCATGATTGGCAGAGTCCAACGCGTAGCATGCTCAATCGATGTACGCAGAAACACCAACACACCTTCTTTTCTTCAAATACCAGACAATCACACTGACTGATCATTTCGAGAATGTCACCGGGTTTAAATAAAATATTCCCATTCAATCAACCGCATATAAAAGAACCAAAACAGAACTAGCGAGATATACCACATGTCATATGAAAGATGTGCCATTTTATAACCAATTTATGAGTGTCTTTCTCGAAATTAAACTTTTCTTACAATTAATTCCAGGAGTGTTTGTTTGTAACACCGCACTTATGTGTTCATATATTCATATTTTGATTCCACATTAGGACAAGTTCTTCAACTTGATACAGGGCCAACATGATTTGATACTGGAAAAAAATGGAAGCCATATTGGAATATTTGAGCAGCCGCCGGTTAAACATCAATCGTGGTTTTGTATATCTCAGTGTTACAAATTTAAACTTTCAGTTTAAAGTAAATAATCAAATGGATTCTGGTGATTGCTATGATGTTATAAGTGTCATGAGCTATATATTTACTCAGATAATACCTAAAAGGACACAATGCAATTCGTTAGTCCGGAAGAATTTGTGCACCCAACTTAAATGTCATAAGCAGGGATTTAAATTATATTTGATGAAAAAAATCAGTTGACCGGTAGCTTATTCACAATGTCAAATCACTGTGTCAAACCTGATTCGATCACGGATATCGGTTTTTGGTTGTCGATTTCACACCAGTCATGGATAAAAGCACGAATGCAGAAAATATTCCCGTACTGATTAGTCATACTACTTGGTTTATTTGAGCAGTGAGAAAGTGAACAGTCACAAAAAAATGAATCACCATACAGGTCCCAAATGCGAGTAAGTGCTCACTCACCTGTAATCGGGAGTCAATGGTGAAACTACCCGCGGTCGGATTCATACAGGCCACATATTGAGTGTTGTGAATCTCCTTCAGTGTGAGTTTTGTTCGATCGTACCAGTGAGAGTGATCGATATGTTGTCGAATGAGACAGTGCGGTTGCACGGTGAAGTACGTGTCCACCTCAGGCATGTTCATATCGTCAATAAAGTAGACCAGACGTTTATTTCCCGGTGGACCATAGTTTCGACCGGCTTTCTTTTCTAAAGGTTTTTCCAAAATACCCTGCAACATTTCACTGGTTGTGTAGAAATTGAACGGCACATTGCTGACCATCGTGTCCTCGTTGAACCCGGCAAATGTGTCCTGGACCAGGACCGTTTTCCCAGTGCCTGCGTTACCCACAAGCATCACCGGTCGACGCGCCTCTAACAGTCGATCCAAGAAGTAACGAACCCGGACAGTTTCCATTGTCGGTACGAGTGTGGCCTGGTCAGGTGTAAAAGAGACTCCACGGTTAGAAATTCGTGTTTGGATAATATGCGCAAACCGGATAAGCAACCAATAATCGTAAAACCTTAGAAACAGTGAGAAAAATGAGAGAGTTTTAATAGGAGAACAGAATACAATGACAACATCCGACGATATTTAAGCAAACAAACCCTTTCAAGAAGGCTCACTGAAAGGACAAATGTTGCCGCGTTCAATAAGTGTGAGAAAACGAGTCAAGCAATGATAGAATGAGCGATCATTTTCGTCAAACACAATCACGAAGATACAAGAGTACAGAGAAGCTGTTTACTTCACAAAAATCGTGCTCTGTGTTGTCCGCTTGATTTGAGCAAGAATCTCCATTTCCTGGAAGATTTCCACTGTTGCTTTGGTCAGCAAGTACATTGCATTCTATTGAATCTGATTGAGTTAAACTGATCAATGCAGAGAAGCCTTGTCGTAAGCGATAATTAAAACAATAGGCGGTTAAATGGAGCATTCACAAAACCAGTAGCAATTTGACTCATTCATAACGTCAAAGAAAAGTTCAGTGCAGCAGTTATACATTTGCATGTATGTATGCATGTATGTATGTATGTATGTATGTATGTATGTATGTATGTATGTATGTATGTATGTATGTGTATGTATGTATGTATGTATGTATGTATGTATGTATGTATGTATGTATGTATGTATGTATCTGTATGTATGTATGTATGTATGTATGTATGTATGTATGTATGTATGTATGTATGTATGTATGTGCATATGTTTGTGTGATCCAGTGCGTGAACGAATTCGACTCGTTTACCTGCAAAGGCAGTTCCGGATCAAGTTCAAAAGAGGGCATACGTCGGGACCAGGGCTCGAATTTCTTCGTCTCCGGATCTATAAAGTAATCAAAAACGGTACCCTGNGGAATTTGATCGTTTTGAACTCCGTGCACCACCATTTGCTGAACTCGACTCGATGATCCACCAGTTGATCTTGAAACAGTGCTCCACCGAAAGCCCAGACTGCACAAAACACAAAATACAGTTCGTACAATTCTTTCGGACAATCCGGAGGCGTGTTTTCCGGGGTCAGATGACAATCGAGCAGATAGCACAACATTTGGACATGTGCAATTTCTGCGATCGGAGTGATCTTCTTGAATCGGGTTCGCAAACCTTCGAGGGAGGGACCGACATATTTGTCGAATAGAATGGTTAAATTGGCCTGTTCCGATTGAATCTCACGTTTTGCGACCCAACTAGACACGAATGGTGTGGTTCCCAGATCCTAATTGGGGGAAATGAAATCGTACGTTGTGAATTTGTTCACGAATTCCATGTGGTTTTGAAGTTGAATGTAATGAACATCGGAAAACGTGGAATGCACCTAGTGGTTGAAAAATATTGACCCGGAATGAAATAGACCGTAGTGGCGAATCAGATTGATTGAGTGGAACAGAAGCAACAGGATTTACTTCCCTTTCTATGCAAACAGATTGCAGAATGCAGTCCTTTGGTTGTTTAAACTTTTGTCGCATAATGGTTCCGGTGCTGTGTTTTGGTAATAAACAAAAAGTGTTTGGGCAATGCATCAATGCACGTAACGAGGAATTCTCCCATGACAGTATGTAGTTCATATTTTTTTAGCCTAACCTCCACCCCGGCCCTCAGACACACAAGTATACATACCAAGTTTGTCACGACCAAGATTCGCGGTCACGGTTTGT